GCTGCCGACTGCCACCTTTGCCGGGCGCATGCGAAACAGCGAAACAGCATTCTGTCTGTCTGTCTATCTGTCTGTCTGTCTGTCTCTCTGTCTGTCTGTCTGTCTGTCTGTCTCTCTGTCTGTCTGTCTGTCTCTCTGTCTGTCTGTCTGTCTGTATCTGTCTGTATCTGTCTGTCTATCTGTCTGTCTGTCTATCTGTCTGCAGCTGTCTTCCAGCCGCCGCGGCTCACAAACGGCGCATCCGTTGCTTTCTGAAGCCCTTAGAAAAGTAGCTCTGGAAGCTTCCGACTGCCACCTTTGCCGGGCGCATGCGAAACAGCGAAACAGCAGGTCCTGCTGGTCTCAACCGCGTGTCCCAAGGCCAGGCGCCACTGCCTAACGTTGCTTTCTGAAGCCCTTAGAAAACTAGCTCTGGAAGCTGCCGGCTGCCACCTTTGCCGGGCGCATCCGAAACAGCGAAACAGCAGGGCCCTGAGGGACGGACCGGGCCTCCGGGCAACGGCCCCCAGTGCCTAACGTCACTTTCTGACCCTACAAGAAAATCTAGCTGTCTTCCAGCCGCCGCGGCTCACAAACGGCGCATCCGTTGCTTTCTGAAGCCCTTAGAAAAGTAGCTCTGGAAGCTGCCGGCTGCCACCTTTGCCGGGCGCATGCGAAACAGCGAAACAGCAGGGCCCTGAGGGACGGACCGGGCCTCCGGGCAACGGCCCCCAGTGCCTAACGTCACTTTCTGACCCTACAAGAAAATCTAGCTGTCTTCCAGCCGCCGCGGCTCACAAACGGCGCATCCGTTGCTTTCTGAAGCCCTTAGAAAAGTAGCTCTGGAAGCTGCCGACTGCCACCTTTGCCGGGCGCATGCGAAACAGCGAAACAGCAGGGCCTGCTGGTCCCAACCGCGTGTCCCAAGGCCAGGCGCCACTGCCTAACGTTGCTTTCTGAAGCCCTTAGAAAACTAGCTCTGGAAGCTGCCGGCTGCCACCTTTGCCGGGCGCATCCGAAACAGCGAAACAGCAGGGCCCTGAGGGACGGACCGGGCCTCCGGGCAACGGCCCCCAGTGCCTAACGTCACTTTCTGACCCTACAAGAAAATCTAGCTGTCTTCCAGCCGCCGCGGCTCACAAACGGCGCATCCGTTGCTTTCTGAAGCCCTTAGAAAAGGAGCTCTGGAAGCTGCCGACTGCCACCTTTGCCGGGCGCATGCGAAACAGCGAAACAGCAGGGCCCTGAGGGACGGACCGGGCCTCCGGGCAACGGCCCCCAGTGCCTAACGTCACTTTCTGACCCTACAAGAAAATCTAGCTGTCTTCCAGCCGCCGCGGCTCACAAACGGCGCATCCGTTGCTTTCTGAAGCCCTTAGAAAAGTAGCTCTGGAAGCTGCCGACTGCCACCTTTGCCGGGCGCATGCGAAACAGCGAAACAGCAGGGCCTGCTGGTCCCAACCGCGTGTCCCAAGGCCAGGCGCCACTGCCTAACGTTGCTTTCTGAAGCCCTTAGAAAACTAGCTCTGGAAGCTGCCGGCTGCCACCTTTGCCGGGCGCATCCGAAACAGCGAAACAGCAGGGCCCTGAGGGACGGACCGGGCCTCCGGGCAACGGCCCCCAGTGCCTAACGTCACTTTCTGACCCTACAAGAAAATCTAGCTGTCTTCCAGCCGCCGCGGCTCACAAACGGCGCATCCGTTGCTTTCTGAAGCCCTTAGAAAAGTAGCTCTGGAAGCTGCCGACTGCCACCTTTGCCGGGCGCATGCGAAACAGCGAAACAGCAGGGCCTGCTGGTCCCAACCGCGTGTCCCAAGGCCAGGCGCCACTGCCTAACGTTGCTTTCTGAAGCCCTTAGAAAACTAGCTCTGGAAGCTGCCGGCTGCCACCTTTGCCGGGCGCATGCGAAACAGCGAAACAGCAGGGCCCTGAGGGACGGACCGGGCCTCCGGGCAACGGCCCCCATGCCTAACGTCACTTTCTGACCCTACAAGAAAATCTAGCTGTCTTCCAGCGCCGCAGCTCACAAACGGCGCATCCGTTGCTTTCTGAAGCCCTTAGAAAAGTAGCTTGGCAGCTGCCGGCGCCACCTTTGCCAGGCGCATCCGAAACAGCGAAAAAACGAAACAGCAGGGCCCTGAGGGACGGACCGGGCCTCCGGGCAACGGCCCCACTGCCTAACGTCACTTTCTGACCCTACAAGAAAATCTAGCTGTCTTCCAGCCGCCGCGGCTCACAAACGGCGCATCCGTTGCTTTCTGAAGCCCTTAGAAAAGTAGCTCTGGAAGCTGCCGACTGCCACCTTTGCCGGGCGCATGCGAAACAGCGAAACAGCAGGGCCTGCTGGTCCCAACCGCGTGTCCCAAGGCCAGGCGCCACTGCCTAACGTTGCTTTCTTAGAAAACTAGCTCTGGAAGCTGCCGGCTGCCACCTTTGCCGGGCGCATCCGAAACAGCGAAACAGCAGGGCCCTGCGGGACGGACCGGGCCTCCGGGCAACGGCCCCCAGTGCCTAACGTCACTTTCTGACCCTACAAGAAAATCTAGCTGGCTTCCAGCCGCCGCGGCTCACAAACGGCGCATCCGTTGCTTTCTGAAGCCCTTAGAAAACTAGCTCTGGAAGCTGCCGGCTGCCACCTTTGCCGGGCGCATCCGAAACAGCGAAACAGCAGGGCCCTGAGGGACGGACCGGGCCTCCGGGCAACGGCCCCCAGTGCCTAACGTCACTTTCTGACCCTACAAGAACATCTAGCTGTCTTCCAGCCGCCGCGGCTCACAAACGGCGCATCCGTTGCTTTCTGAAGCCCTTAGAAAAGTAGCTCTGGAAGCTGCCGACTGCCACCTTTGCCGGGCGCATGCGAAACAGCGAAACAGCAGGGCCTGCTGGTCCCAACCGCGTGTCCCAAGGCCAGGCGCCACTGCCTAACGTTGCTTTCTGAAGCCCTTAGAAAACTAGCTCTGGAAGCTGCCGCCTGCCACCTTTGCCGGGCGCATGCGAAACAGCGAAACAGCAGGGCCCTGAGGGACGGACCGGGCCTCCGGGCAACGGCCCCCAGTGCCTAACGTCACTTTCTGACCCTACAAGAAAATCTAGCTGTCTTCCAGCCGCCGCGGCTCACAAACGGCGCGTCCGTTGCTTTCTGAAGCCCTTAGAAAACTAGCTCTGGAAGCTGCCGGCTGCCACCTTTGCCGGGCGCATCCGAAACAGCGAAACAGCAGGGCCCTGAGGGACGGACCGGGCCTCCGGGCAACGGCCCCCAGTGCCTAACGTCACTTTCTGACCCTACAAGAAAGAAAACTAGCTCTGGAAGCTGCCGGCTGCCACCTTTGCCGGGCGCATCCGAAACAGCGAAACAGCAGGGCCCTGAGGGACGGACCGGGCCTCCGGGCAACGGCCCCCAGTGCCTAACGTCACTTTCTGACCCTACAAGAAAATCTAGCTGTCTTCCAGCCGCCGCGGCTCACAAACGGCGCATCCGTTGCTTTCTGAAGCCCTTAGAAAAGTAGCTCTGGAAGCTGCCGACTGCCACCTTTGCCGGGCGCATGCGAAACAGCGAAACAGCAGGGCCTGCTGGTCCCAACCGCGTGTCCCAAGGCCAGGCGCCACTGCCTAACGTTGCTTTCTCTTAGAAAACTAGCTCTGGAAGCTGCCGGCTGCCACCTTTGCCGGGCGCATCCGAAACAGCGAAACAGCAGGGCCCTGAGGGACGGACCGGGCCTCCGGGCAACGGCCCCCAGTGCCTAACGTCACTTTCTGACCCTACAAGAAAATCTAGCTGTCTTCCAGCCGCCGCGGCTCACAAACGGCGCATCCGTTGCTTTCTGAAGCCCTTAGAAAACTAGCTCTGGAAGCTGCCGGCTGCCACCTTTGCCGGGCGCATCCGAAACAGCGAAACAGCAGGGCCCTGAGGGACGGACCGGGCCTCCGGGCAACGGCCCCCAGTGCCTAACGTCACTTTCTGACCCTACAAGAAAATCTAGCTGTCTTCCAGCCGCCGCGGCTCACAAACGGCGCATCCGTTGCTTTCTGAAGCCCTTAGAAAAGTAGCTCTGGAAGCTTCCGGCTGCCACCTTTGCCGGCGAAACAGCAGGGCCCTGAGGGACGGACCGGGCCTCCGGGCAACGGCCCCCAGTGCCTAACGTCACTTTCTGACCCTACAAGACAATCTAGCTGTCTTCCAGCCGCCGCGGCTCACAAACGGCGCATCCGTTGCTTTCTGAAGCCCTTAGAAAAGTAGCTCTGGAAGCTGCCGACTGCCACCTTTGCCAGGCGCATGCGAAACAGCGAAACAGCATTCTGTCTGTCTGTCTGTCTGTCTGTCTATCTGTCTGTCTGTCTGTCTGTCTGTCTGTCTGTCTGTCTCTCTGTCTGTCTGTCTGTCTGTCTGTCTCTCTGTCTGTCTGTCTGTCTGTCTGTCTCTCTGTCTATCTGTCTGTCTGTCTGTCTGTCTGTCTGTCTGTCTCTCTGTCTGTCTGTCTGTCTGTCTGTCTGTCTCTCTGTCTGTCTGTCTGTATCTGTCTGTATCTGTCTGTCTGTCTATCTGTCTGTCTGTCTATCAGTCTGCCTGTCTCTCTGTCTCTCTCTCTCTCTCTGTCTCTCTCTGTCTCTCTGTCTCTATCTGTCTGTCTCTGTCTGTCTGTCTGTCTCTCTGTCTCTGTCTGTCTCTGTCTGTCTCTATCTGTCTCTGTCTGTCCCTTGAGCATTCTTCAGGGCATGCCTTCTCCAGCGCGCTCCCCCAGCATCCGGCTGGGGTCGGCGGATTCATGCAGATTAGTTTGCCTTGATGAGACGATTCCCAGTGAAGAGGGCTTTGGGCATGCGCACAATTCAGTGTGACAGCGCGAGTCCTCATCTCCGAGTCTGCAGATAGCATATACATGACTCTTACATGACCGACCAAGCAGATCCAAGCGGATCCAAGCTGAGAGTTCTTCGGACATCTCTGGACTTCGTATTGGATGGTTCTATTGCGATATTCACACAGCCAGCTGGGTTGTTCATCGCCGCTGCGCGCGGCTGATAGGAACTTCTGAGTGCGGAAAAGAAGGCGAAAGACGAGATGCAACGACGACATACCATGGTGCTTGCCTCACAAATTTTCAGAATCTGAACAAGAGACTTCCATCAGACAAAGGGATGCAATAGGTCCAAATACATTGTTTCATTGACATAGTCATAGGTTGTATTTCTCCTGACTCGGTCGAGGTGGAAAATGACAAGCAGTTCCTTGGCTGAAGATTAGCAGAGCCTAAGTGTGGACGACTGCAGATACTATGATGTGAGATCTCATGTCTCCCCTTCCATTGCTCGCTTCTGTGCCTTCTGCAGCTTGGGTCGGCTGGTCTGGGGGTTTGAGCAAAACAAAGTATACAAGTGCAGAATTGGCACCTGCCAGAAACAAATGGTTTCCGATCTCCACTGTTTGTTTTCTTGAAGGGGTTGCAAGGGTTCATCAATTGGCACTCTGCTTCACGCCCGAGTCTGACTCATATGTTTGCCATTTTTTGGCTGTGTTGCTACCAAGGAAGATGTTGCGTGACCAAGCAGAACTCCAGGAAGCCAAGGCAACTTTGACGGTTGAATGTTGAAATATATTGAAGTCTTATCGACATTTATCGACAAGAGAACATGTTTGCTTTGCCAGAACTGTGCACCTTAACAACAAATCCTGACAGTGTAGGCAAGAGAAGAGAAGCTGAAAATGGAGGAGCCCATCGGACTTCACCTGTGATATGGTTTGACTGCGATGTTTGAATCGAAACTGGAAGGCCGAACGACAGCACCAGAAGCTTATTCAAGACATGGAGAAGCTCAGTTTCTGCCTAAGACTCTTTGAAAAGTGGTACGACTGTTTGCAGAAGTTTCAGCACGTGGCCCAAGGACAAGACCAAGCACAGCTGAATGCCGACAAGGAAGATGAAAAAAAGGCAAAAGAAGAGGCATCGCTGCATCACCATGGCCCATCGCGCACTGCATTGTCACATTTTGCAAAGCTCAGGCGGAGCGAAAGCATGCATCTGTCTTGCGAGACATGCAACAACTCCAAGCTGACCGAGACAAGCTACAGGCATTGTGTGGCATCGGATGGTCTTACAGACTGGATGCAGAGCCAATAACATTCCACTCAAACCACAACTCAAACCACAACATACCACAACTTTCAGATCTTTCAGTCACATAGGTTGTAAGATGTTGCAAGCATTGGTAGCTGTTGCCTCACCTCTCTGATTCCAGCTTTGAGCTGCTTGAGCTGCCAGGCAGACCAAGTAGCAGAAAAAAGAGCTAGAGAAGAGGCCAAGACTTGGCATGAGAGACGTGATCCGGAGAGAGGTCTGCAGAGTTGGTTTCGACCAGCGAAACCCGAAACCCGAAACCCGAAACCCGAAACCCGAAACCCGAAACCGACTGTTAAAGTTGGTTTCGAACTGCGAAACCCGAAACCCGAAACCCGAAACCGACTCTGAAGACTTAACTTCCCCAGGACCGACCGAAACCCGAAACCCGAAACCCGAAACCCGAAACCCGAAACCGACTCTGAAGACTTAACTTCCCCAGGACCGATCGTAACCCGAAACCCGAAACCGACTGTTAAAGTTGGTTTCGAACTGCGAAACCCGAAACCCGAAACCCGAAACCCGAAACCGACTCTGAAGACTTAACTTCTCCAGGACCGATCGTAACCCGAAACCCGAAACCCGAAACCCGAAACCGACTGTTAAAGTTGGTTTCGAACTGCGAAACCCGAAACGCGAAACCCGAAACCGACTCTGAAGACTTAACTTCCCCAGGACAGATCTTATCTAATCTAGATCTAACCTAATCTAATCTAATCTAATCTAATCAGTCTATCTAATCATCTATCTAATCTAACCTAATCTATTCTATCTAATCTAATCTAGTCTATCTAATCTAATCCAATCTACCTAATCTAATCTAATCTAAACTAATCTACCTAATCTAATCTAATCTATCTATCTAACTAATCTAATTCAAATCTAATTCCATTCTAATTTAATCATATTTAATCTACCTAATCTAATCTAATCTAATCAAATCTAATTCAAATCTAATCTCATCTATATAGTCTAACCTAATCTCATCTACCTAACCTGCTCTAATTCAAATCTAGTTTAATCTATCTAATCTTCTACCAAATCTAATCTAATCTAATCTGATCTAATCTACCTATTCTAGTCTAATCTAATCTCATCTAATCTAATCTAATCTACCTAATCTAATCCAATTCTAATCTAATCTAATCTAATCTACCTAATCTAATCTATCTAATCTATCTAATTTGTTCTAATCTACCTAATCTATCCTAATCTAATCTAATATAATCTACCTAATTTAATCCAATTCTAATCTAATCCTAATCTAATCTAATCTAATCTACCTAATCTAATCTATTTATAATCTTATCTATCTAATCTAATCTAATCAAATCTAATTTCATCTACCTAATCTAATCTAATTCTAATCTAGTTTAACCTATCTAATCTTATCTACTCTACCTAATCGAATCTAATTCTAATCTAATCTAACCTAATCTACCTAACATAATCTAATCTACCTAATCTAACCTAATCTATCTATCTAAGTAATCTAATTCTAATCTAATCTTATCTACCTAATCAAATCAGATTCTAATTGCAACCAAAACTAATCTAATCTAATCAATCTAATCTAATCTATCTAATCTAATCTAACCTACCTATTCTATAATAATTCTTATTCCAATCTAATCTAATCTACCTAATCTAATATTTCTAATCTAATATTTCTAATCTAATATTTCTAATCTAATCTAATGATATCATATCATATCATATCATATCTATCCAACTAATCTAATCTAACCTAATCTAATCTATCTAATCTAATCTAATTTAATCTACCTAATCTAATCTAATCTAATATAATTCTAATCTCATCTCATCTATATAGTCTAACCTAATCTAATCTACCTAACCTACTCTAATTCTAATCTAGTTTAATCTATCTAATCTAATCTAATCTACCTAATCTAATCTAATCTAATCTAATCTACCTAATCTAATCTGATCTAATCTCTAATCTAATCTAATCTAATCTAATCCAATTCTAATCTAATCTACCTAATCTAATCTATTTCTAATCTAATCTAGTTTAATCTATCTAATTTAATCTAATCTACCTAATCTAATCTAATCTAATCCACTCAGTGACAGCTACTTACGGATGCTGGCAGGTTTCCCCCAAACCGTTGCCGGTTCTCCTCTCTGACCTTTTCAGGCGCTTGTCACTCACCGCTCTTGTTTTTGACGACTGCATGGAGAACGACACTTGGGTGATGTGAGATCGGCATCGTACTGGTGAATCTAAAGGTGGTTTCGACCTACGAAACCCGAAACCCGAAACGGACAGCTAAAGTTAGCTTCAATAGACGAAACCCGAAACCCGAATCCCGAAACCGACAGCGAAAGTTGGTTTCAGGCGACGAAACCCGAAACCCGAAACCCGAAACCCGAAACCGACAGCGAAAGTTGGTTTCAAGCGACGAAACCCGAAACCCGAAACCCGAAACCGACAGCAAAATTGGGTTTCAATCGACGAAACCCGAAACCCGAAACCCGAAACCCGAAACCGACAGCGAAAGTTGGTTTCAAGCGACGAAACCCGAAACCCGAAACCCGAAACCCGAAACCCACAGCAAAAGTGGGTTTCAATCAACGAAACCCGAAACCCGAAACCCGAAACCGACAGCGAAAGTTGGTTTCAAGCGACGAAACCCGAAACCCGAAACCCGAAACCGACAGCAAAAGTGGGTTTCAATCGACGAAACCCGAAACCCGAAACCCGAAACCGACAGCGAAAGTGGGTTTCAATCGACGAAACCCGAAACCCGAAACCCGGAACCCGAAACGGACAGCGAAAGTTGGTTTCAAGTGACGAAACCCGAAACCCGAAACCCAAAACCGACAGCGAAAGTGGGTTTCAATCGACGAAACCCGAAACCCGAAACTTTGGAAATCTACACTGCCTATGCACTGCAGTTGATGTCGTTGGTATTCAGATGTTTCTTCATTTCCTGATTTCCGTGTGCAACTGGTTGTAAGCCTTCAGCATATGAACTTTCAGCATTTCAGCTGGAACAACCGCGGCAAACAGCCGGGACCTCAGTTTCGTACAGTGCATTGGTTATGCACAACTCTGGATGGATCTATGTTTCATCTGGCATATGTATGCTGCATTTGGTACAGCGAACATACATACAGATGTGCTGCTTTGGTGCCACATCTACCTTTTCTGCAATTTGGTGGAGAAGAATATTTGTACAATTTGATGCGCATAGCATTCAACTTGTCACCATGTGATGAAGCTGGAGTTTCAGTCGCACGCTCCTTGCACTCAGCTTTTTGCATTTGGTGATGAAAGACAGATTAGTTCTGTGTGGAATTCGTTTACGATGACTAGCAGATGCGTCTTATGGCAGCAACGTTGTACATGCCATTTGTCCTCTAGGACGCATACTGGTTTTCGGGACAGTTTTGTTTGCTGGAAGATGCTATTTTGGAATTGCTCTGCATATTTCAGTTGCAGACTGGATAGCATGGACGGAATCGAACTTGACAGTTCGATTACAGTGACAGCAGCTGTGAGAATTTGTTTGACGTTGCCAAAGTTTACAGATGCATGATTTGGTGAACGAACGGTTAGATCGACTTGATCTATTTGGTGCATATCGTTTGGATATGTTTTTGCCAAACTTTACTGATTTCATGCCTTTCAGGCGATGCCAAATCAGAAGTTTGACTGCAAAGAACTATGTGGAGATTTATGCCTCCAATTTGATCGTTTTGGACGAAGTACCTGAACTGAGAGGGAAAGTGAGTGAGCAGTCGTTTTTGAGAATTCGTTTGAACCAAATTTGTCCGAAACCAATTTTTAACAGTTTCTGAACAAATTTGTGCATGAGAGCATTTCTAGGGATTTTGAACGTTTTTAGGAACACGAAATCCGTTTTGGTAGGACTTCAAGTTTTGAGGCTGAGTCCAGCCAATTTGACAGAGCCGAGACCACGTTTCTAGGTCGTAGGTTGTTTTAGGGTTATGAACCCATTTAGAAGCCGAGAACTGAGTTTTTACAGTTTTCGACCTTTAGGCGTTTTTGACCTGAAGCCAAAACCGCGTTTTTAGGGTTGAAGCTTTTCAGGATAGCAGAAACCACGGTTTGTAGAGAGAAGCTGTATTTTGACAGCCTTGTGGTTTTTAGCCGAGGAAACCTCGTTTTTGAGGTATTTGGACGTTTGTGATAGTCACAGATAGCCGGAGTCAAGGGGACTCAAATTACTGAATGTACAGAAATAAGTCAAAGAGAATGCCAATGAATTTTGGCTCAAGTGCGACAAAATAAACTTCAAGACTTGAATTAAGGTTTTGAAAGTTTATATGGTAGCGGAGCCCCAAGGATCCATTTGGTGAGGGGCGAAGCGCTATCTGTGACCCTTAGCGAAGGTGCACTGTTCTGAGAGCCATGGCCAGTGAATCTTCACCTGAGTTGTCCGAAGAGCCGCCACAGGGGCAGCAGTACGACTTTTCAGATGTTTGGCAAACTGCAGCTACACCACCGAACACCCCACCCCCTGGTGGGGGTGCTCATGCAGGCCAGAATGGGCCACCTAGTGCAGCTGGAAATGGGGCTACCCAACCTTCGATTGGGGATTTGTTACAGTTGTTGATTGTGCAGCAGCAGCAGACCACTACGTTGCTGCAGCAGGTGCTTTCGAGACCCCAGACAGTTTTGCCCACTCCAGACTTCGGACAAGCTCAACAAGCAGTTTTTGCTACCCCACAAGGGGCCATTGGCGACAGGGCGCAGGGGGCTCAGTTTCAGACTACTACCCCACCGCCTGCACCTCCACGAGATGAAGGGCTTCGAGCTCTTGATGGAAAAATCATGCCAGCTATCCCACGTGCAGACCCCACAGAATGGAAGAATCGAGTGCAAGAAGTTCTGGGATTCAGGTCCTATTGTGAGTCTTTGACGGCTTGGTTGAGCCTTTTGGGCCCCCGATATCAGGGGGAGATCAAAGAGGCGTTGGTCTTTCAAGGGGCCATTACGGATGCAGTTTTGACTGCTGACCAGTTACAGAGGAGCCACAGGATGTTCTATGTGATGAAGCAGAGTGTTACAAACAAGAACACTCGTTTTGACATTTTGGTCAAACTGTATGAGGCCGAGTCACAGAACAATGCCAGTGGGTTTGAGCTCATCAGGCGTCTTCGCAATGAGCTTTGTGTGAAAAGCCGGT